TGTGTTTGTTTCAGTTCATCATAGTACACTATGGGATGGAGATGTCCATGGGTGGGCAGGGTTTTTTGTGGGAGGTTCAGAGGCAGTAGTTAGACTTTAGAGAAAAACATGCAGGTACATCTGATGGATTCATGCCAGTAAGTCCACAAGTGGTCTTCAACCTCAGCACCATGAGGGTACCTGAATTAGCCCTAACGCTTGATTTATGTGTGCATATTCAGGTCTGTGCACCAAGTTCAGGGTCTGCTGGAGGCAGAGGACAAAGTCCACCAGCTCGTGCATCCTACATGTGCTATGTCCCCAGGAGACATACTCACATATGGAAGTTGTCAGGTGAAATCATGATGCTGTCCAGACAGGGAGATGAGGAAGGTGACCATCAAATAACCAGATGCAGTGGCGTCCTACTTCCCCACTCCCATCAGGCAGCTTCTGACTGATGACCAAAGTGTGGGTGCTCAGGGTATTTTCTTTCTTAGGTTTTAGATTATTTTTTTTCTTACATCAAGTTTGTAAAGATTCCTTGAGCCTGATTCTGGGTCCTGCTAAGCTTTGAGCTTCAGCATCAGCCAGGACAAGCTTTGCAGATTAATTTGTACTTTTGTTGCCTTTCAGATGCACACAGAGTCTCCAGCCCCTGGGATTCTGACTAAAAGCAAGCCTCCTCTGCTCTGCTCTGCCCTGCCCTGCCTGCGTGCTACTTTTGCACCTACCTAGCTTGGCTTTTTCATATATCTTCTGTTTTCCTCTAAACCAGCTCCAGCCCAACATGTTTCAAGCAGAGCAGGCAGCAAGGGTGATGTGATGCTGGCATGTGGCTTCCCACTGACATGACAAGCAAAAGCACCACTGTATTTTCAATCAAGGATAAGCAAAGTGACATTCATCTGCCCTAATGATTAACCTCTTTTTAGGACTGTCCCTCTGCAAAAAAAAAAAAAAAGTGCTTTTTCTTTTATTTTTTTGATTAAAATCATTTCTCCCCGAGTCCTCATTTCTAAAATAATTCCAGCCAGTGCTGAACCCACTCGTGCTTGGCAGAACAAGTGTCAGCTCCTGCAATGGAAATCCCCTTTCTTTTTTCACTACTTTATTTTGTCTGCTCTCAAGTCACCTCCCTTTGGCAGATTCCCTTGAAATCTCCCAAATCTCAGCCCTCTCCGGATCACCACTGCCATACAATTACAGCTCTCCCTGGCTGGGCTGGATGGCCGGGCTGGAGAGAGCCTGGGTGATGGCCAGCGCTGCTGAGGACGATGGCGAGTGGAGGGCTGGGAGGGATTTCTCGCTGATGATATTGTCACATTCTTTCCGAATCCTGGGAGTAAACAGACACTCCAAATTTAGAAAGAACAGGATTGGAAAATTTAAACATTCCTTGAAGAATTGGTATTGGGGGGGGGGGTACAAGGGGGCTGAATATGATATCACACGTGCTCCCAAGCCAGATGAAAAGCTTGTGACTCGAGTTCAGAAAGCAAGTGAGGGGCCTGTTTCAGGTCAGAGAATGATATTGCAATGATAAAGCTCCCCTGGCTCATGAAACCACAATGTAAAGAGCCTCTGCTGTGCAAGGAGAGTCCCAAACCCAGCAGTCCAGGCTGCTGGTCACACTGCCACCCTGCTGTCCTCTCCAGGTGGCATATGGCTTTGGGCACAGGAGAGGAGAGCCCAGCGCTCAGCCCAAGGACACCATGGAGGATGGATGCCTGAGCATCATCTGGGTGAGCATCCCAAGCCCTCAGCTGTCGCTTTTAACTGTTGAATGAGAGTAAAGGAGAATCTCCCCACCCTCCACTGCAGCTGGGCAAATGGAGAGGAGCTGGTGAAACTCGGCACCCAGCAGCTCAGCACCATGCTTTGGCTCTGGCCAGGCTCCAATACAAGAGCTGGCATGCGGGAGCCGTCAGGGAACGTTGGAGCCAGACCGCTGCTGTTGCTGCTGCTTCATAAACAGATAATAGCTGTTAATAAAATCCAAGTGGGTGTTTGCAAAGGGGAAGAGGGGGGCAAAAAAGCAAAGCGAAAAAAAAAAGAAGAAAAAAGGGCAAAAAATAGCAGGGAAAGAAAAAAAAAGAAAGGCAAAAAAGCAAGGGTTTGTGCTGAAGTAAACAAAGGTTAAAGAACAGTCAGGCTCCTGCAGGAATAGCAGAGCTGGGCTGGGAGGGAGGGGGCATTACGTAATGCAGGAAAAATGTTGGCTCCATTCAGTTTTCCACCACTTCATGTGATGTCAGGAAAACCATATAAATCAACAGTCTTTCTGCTCCCACGGATGGAGGGCAGCAAGCAGCACTATTTATACTTACACAATTAAAAAAAAAAAAAAAAAGGGGGGAAAAAGAAGAGAAGCTGATGATTTCCAAGACTGGGAATAATTGACTCAGGTTCCTCCTTCCCAGCCTGCTGGAATCGCTGCTTCTGAGCTGTTAACCCTTGAGGGGTCCCTGCCATTGCTCCTCATGCCTAGCTCTTCTGTCCTCACCCACCAGACTCCATCAGCTGCTTCAAGGGTCTCATGAATGATGGGCTGCAGTTGAGCAGGAATGGCCGAGCAAGGCATTTGCACGAGATGGGGACAGTAAAGACTGGATGTGTGTCACTTTGCCTGGGTTGATGAGAGCTGGGGATCACGGAGGGGCTGCATATGGCTGCCACACCAGACTGGGAACACTCAGGATGGGGTTCCCTGAGGTGCTGACATCCATTTAGGGGCAGGCTGAGATTTCAGGATAGAACCCTGAAATTTCAGCAGCCCTTGCCAGGCTAACTCCCCACTGGGGTCACAAGCCACCTCCAGGGAGGATCCAGGCACTCCTTTTGGGACACAGGATGGGTTGGGGTGGGACAAGGTGACTGAGCCTGGAGTGGGTAGACCAAGGGGTTAAACCCCACCAGGGAGAGGGGTCAGAATCAGGCCCAGCCCAAATATCCTGCCCCAGAGCTCTCAAGTGCTGCAGAGCTGCCTCTGAAACAACACGTCTGCTGCCCACAGCACAGGCAGGAGGAAGCTGTGCCTGTCGGACAGTGTGCCCAGCCTTCCCCGGATGCTCTCTGCAGCCGCTTCCAGTCACCATTTCCATGTAAACCGCCGCCGCCATGACCCAGTGTTCTACACTTTGGTTCCCGTTTTTTCCACCCGCTGGTGGTCCATGTTCCACAGCAGGCTGTGGTCCTGCAGCACTTTGACTTAGGGTGGTTTAAGGTTTTGCTCGGCACCCAGCACAGCCACACTCCTGCTTGGGCATCTGGGCTTCTGCAGCCCAGAGGGATGGAAATGGCTGCCCTGAAGACGGAGTATGTATGTGCCCAAGGAAGGTGCAGATTTGCTTATGGAGGCTTGGTGGTGGTGATGCTGATGGCAAGGGGGTGGCACCCTGCTGATGCTCACCCAGCATGGGGCATGCCATGCATGCTGCTGTGGTGTGCCAGTACTATGGGGGGCCCCCAAGCCTCCCCTTGCTTTTCCAGGGAGCAGAAAGCTCCCAGGCTTTCCGGGCCACCTTACCCAGCTCCATCCCTGCCTCAGGAGGACTCGGGGATGGGGGTTTGCAGCCAGCACACAGTGCTGCCCCTTGCCCAACCCTGGGAAAGTGGCAGCAGGTTGTGGGGTGCTGGGGTCATGCACAGGCTGTTTCCTGACCTGTCCTGGTGACTAAGCAGATTCCTTTCCAGATGTGACTGAATCCAACTTCTTCTCCTGCACCATGCACCAAGCCATACCCTTGTTTATGCCACAACAACCTTGGAGCCACAGGGACTGCTGTTGGGCCAGGCCAAGGGCCGCCATAGCAAGCTCATGGTGGCATCTTCCAGTGCAGGTCCCAGCCAAGCGCCTGCAGCCTGGGCCATGTTAATCAGCTTTACTGTGATTTCATGTAGTCCCTGCTTGCTTTCGAAACCCTCAAACTGGGAGGTTTATGCCACTATTTCTCTTCTCTGTTCTCCCCATCACAATGCAGCTGCTCCAATCCAGCAGCACTGACCTGTGCCTTGCACAGGCAGGGTCCCTTGAATGCCACTTGCTTGTGCCACCTTCCCCATCACAACTACCCCTTCCAAAGGTCTGTTACACTGCGGGATTGGCAGGAACAGCAGCTCCCTCCATCCCTGTGACGCCTTGGGAACACGGAGGTCAGTACCCTCCATGTGAGCCCCAAAGCAATACCCAATCACCATAGGATAAGGATGGGCTTGGGGAACAGAGGTGATCCCCATCTCTGCTTTTGGCAGTATCTAGGAGCTTGGCTGAGCTCAGCAGGGCCAAGGGGCAGCACCTGCCCACCCCTCCACAGGCAGCAAGCTCAGAGGTGGGCAGCCAGCCACAAAGATGTCCCAGCCACGGGGAATTAAAAGCAGCTTTAACTCCCCCTTCAGCAGCTCTCTGCCTCTTTCTCCTCCTCTCTGCTGAGTTGGAGTATTTCATTCATCGGTTGCCTGCGTTATGCAGAAGGGCTGTAATTAGGGTAGCATTGTGCCTCCTCCTGCCTGTGTGCTCACGCCTGGAAAGCACCATCTCCAGCAGACCTTGACTCACTCAGTGATGACCCTCTGCCCCTGCTCTCCTTCCTCTTCCCTCTCCCAGCACATCCATGGATTTCCTCTCCAGCCTTCCCTTTAACAGCAGCGAGAGGGAACAGAAGAGCTGAACCAGGTCTGGCTTTTGGTGCTTTGACCAGGGATGAAGCAGTGTAACAATGGCCGAATGAAGGTGTCTGGATCTATGCCGTTGTGACCACCACATAGCCTCTTCTCTCACTGCACCCTGGCTGGTGGGTGCAGTGGTGGGGTGCTAGACAGTGCAAGGAATGAACGCACAGGGAGGACCCAACAATGCCAGTGTGGGTTGGGCCTCCTTGGTCTGCGTGCAGGGCTGCCCTCCACCACCACAGCCACCGGTGGCCAGGGCAGCAGACGCACATGGACACGTGTGACCACAGCTCCGTAACTCCGGACATAGGGCACGAGTGCCAGGTGGAGTGGTGGCCCAGGGCTCCTACCTGTAAGGATGGAGACGCTGTGGAAACAGCTGTCCAGCTTGCCCAGGAGGATGGAGAGGAAGCTGTCAGCAGCCAAGCCGGTCACGTCCCGTGTGCTCTGGTCATAGACCACCACGTCCTGGTGCTCCTCTGCCTCCACCTGCAGGGGAACAGCGAAAACTGGGAGTCGCAGAAATAGGCTGAATGCTGGGGGTGCTGCTGCCCACACAGCCATGGGAAGCAAAGCTGAATTTAGCAGTCATACAAGCAGAAGATCACAGCTCTACACCATCCCCACAAGCTGGCTTTTAATCATCACATGAAGGGTCCAGGCAGGCTGGGACTCTGCTTCACGGCTACAAGCATGTCAGTGCAGTTGCCTGCTAGAGTAGCTCCGCTGATGGCAAGAACTGAGCACCCTAACCTGAAATAGTGTCACTCCTCCCCACTGCCCACCTTCAGCTTACCATTACTTAAGTGCATCCCAGAAGTCACTGTGACTTCTTCCACCACCTCCTCCCCACCCAGCCTTTGCCCTCAGATACTCCTCTGTGTCCTGGCTGGTGTCACAAGGACTGGGGGGTGGTTCTGCAGACAGGGGTGCTCCTAGCACAGCCCTCATACTGTGGCTAGAGCAAATGGTGCTCTTCAGGCCTCAGCCTGGAGACGCTCTCCAGCACAGTGACACCTCTGTAGGCACTACCCCTCTGAAAGCTCAACCCAAACCTGCAGATCACCCTTGAGGGATGAAGGAGCTTTTCTTTAGCTCAGTGGATGTTCAGGGGATGCTCTTTCTTCCTTTTCTAATGCATGGCAGTGCTTGTACACTGTAGAGATATGCTGGGGAGCGGGAAAGGAGCTCCTGGGCTGCTCTCATGTGACTTTACACACCACAAACAGCACCCAGCCCTACTGCCTGATGCTGCAGTCTCTGGGGTAGGTGAGATGGTGGGGTACCCTGAAGGCACACAGCTGTCTGCAGGCAGGAGTCCTCCCATGCCTGGTGATGGCTACATTGCAGCAAGAGCACTCAAAGTGCAGCCAACCATTCCTACACCTACATGAAGGTCCATGCATTAAAAGAAGGTAAAAATGCTCACACAGGCATGGCTCAATGCATCTGCTGAATGCGGATGGCATATGCCTGCCTTCTGAGCACCTGCCCTCCCAGCCAGCGGGGTAAGGCACATCCATCACACTGTGGGAGGAGGAGGCAGCAGCAGGCAGGGAAGCAGGGTCTACACACCCAAGCCGATCTCTCCTCCAGCTTGTGTTGGAGCTGCCCAGTGCCCACCCCCTGCCTGGCCCTCTCCAAAATCTCATTAGGAGACCACTCAAACTAGGAACCACTCACAGGTACCCACCTCCTTTTGCTGTCTCACTGCCATGCCCTGTCTTACCACCACAGCAGATTCACTCGGGATTGCTGTCAGTATTAATGCTGCTTTCACGCCCTGCTGCAGGTGCTTCCCTGCTCATAACATGAGCGCCACCCAAATTAAAACTCCAGGGCGCACTGATTAAGCTGAGCTCATCATGTCTCCTCGCTGCAGCAGAAGGACAGTCCTGCATTGGCAGAAATCCCTGCCAGGGCACCATGCACAGCTCTGCATTAGGAAGGGGGAAGCTCAAAGGAGCCGCATGTCTCCATCCCAGCACCAGGAACTGGAGAGCAAAACTGGCCCTGCAGGTCAGCAGGAAGATGGGAGGGTTGAAAAGGCAGCAGCAGGATGAGCGGGAAGGGAAAAGGACATGTGAATTTTAAAATAAGACACTGAAAAACTACTGAATCCACCTGGGGGCAAGCCAGCTGAGGATCTATACCAGCATCTCTGCCTCCCCCATCCCTGAAGCAGGACTTTCACAGGAGGGCATCCAAGCACATCTGGAGGGAAACACAGTAGCTGCTGAGCCAACTCTGAGCTGGAAGACTGCCAGTCCTTAACAGGGCCACTATCCCTTCAAGCCCCCCTAGCACACTGTTAGCATATCCCAAAAATCTAGTCCTCTTCCTGAAGCCCCAGGTTAACAAAAGCATCTCCCCCAAAAGCACAGTGAGCTGGGGACTGAGCGGCGGTAGGGGAGGGACTCATCCTGGCTGCATGGTCCAGACCAGGGTGGCTGCAGGGGAGATAGCAGCTCTGGCCAAGCAGAATTATCCCACAATAGGATTTAGTGTTCCCTCCACATGGGGAGGCTTTGTTTGGGCCATTACTGCAGGGTTGCTGAGCAACGGCAGAGATGTGTGACACGGTTTACATCTTATTAAAGTTATAAGGTTTCACTCAATGTAAATGCCAAACAAGTGCTGGCCTTGCATGGCCTGGCTGCAGAAAATAAATACCCCACTTACTGGGGCGAGAATGCCTGCAAGATGGTCCTGAGGAACTGTCATGGAGCACACAGGCAGCCCACGCTGTTGTCACTGCTCCTTGCCACAAAGAGAAATGAGAGGGAGATATTTAATCAGGTCCCCATGGTCTCTCATTAACTTCACACACTCCTGATATCAGGGGAATGTTCAGCCCCATTTCTGGCCTTAAATATTCAGAGGTTAAAAGCTAAGTGGGGCAGAGGAGGAGGGTAAACCTGAAGAGATGCTCAGGGCCAGATTCCTGATTCTTCCAGGTGTTAACATACGGCAGAAGCACAGCTGACAACAGAGGAGTCCTTCTGAGGAGCAGCACCTTGGTGGTGGGAGCTCTTCCATGGGGGTTCAAGACTGCCCATGTATTGAACTCCCATCACCCATCACTCGAAGACTGCTGAAGTAACCAAGCCCCCAGGAATCACCCTCCAGAAAGGGTTCCTGCATTCAGACAGCAAGTGGCTAGGGCGCAGAATGTCTTTTGGCCCCAAGATGTTGACTAGGCCTTGCAAGCACTTGAATGCCTTTGAAAAGCTGCTAGCCCACCCACTGCTGGATATACCCCATGGCACCTCCCCAGGGACAAGCCTCCTGCCTGCTAGCGTCTCAGCTGGGGGCTATGGCCAGCCTGGAGCCAACAGCCCCAACCAAACACCAGCTGAAACCATTCATTGCCTTTGCGCCAAGCCCAGTGCTCCCTATCACCCTCACCAGCCCTGGCTGGACATGTGGTGCCGGGCACTGGGTGCTTAAACACAGTCCTTGTCCCTGCTCCACCTTTTCCTGGCTGCCAAGCAGGGATCATGATGCTCTTCAGGTGATCTAGGCTAAGATAAGAGCAAGCTATCCTGATTATCCCAATTGCTACCAACATCTCAGTCACATATTGTTTCAAAACACAGTGAATCACCCCACTGAAATAACAGGGCTTCTATCAACATAAAGAGAAGTCAGGCACACGGCTCAAAAATAAGCCCCAGCTTCCCCTCAAGCAAAACAGCTGCTTGCAGACCCATGCTCCTAATGCAAATACATAAATATTCCAATTGCCCAAAGAGACCCTTGTCATGCCTCAAACTGTGACTGTAGCTGCTCTGGAGATAGCTGCGTTTCAGGAAGCAAGAGGTCGAGAGGTAGAAAGACTTTCCAGGGGGATCTTGAAGAAGTGAAAATTTCAACATCTCCCTCAAGAAATGCTAGTGAAAAACCCAAGCAGGAATTTCCCATAACCTCTGCCCCTGAAACTGTACTGAGGAGTTGAATTATTCCAGTTGTTACTGGAATTTATTATTGGGAGCATTTATTATTGTTAGTATTGAAAGAAGGGTTCCAAACCAAACCCAGAATATTATGTTGGTACCATCTTTGTGTGGAGGGACACTATTGCTAATTGGGAAATGAATTGCTGCTGTGGTATTTCCCAGCTAAGGCACCATGGGAAGAAGGGGTTCGGGGAGGGGTGGTTTAGCTATGCCCACAATGGTAGGCATATTTCATTGGAAAAAGAAAGGGATTTTTATTTTCCCTATTTCTTCTTTCCTACCAAACGGCCCTTTCCTTTCGTTGCACCAAAAAAGCCAGGAGCTGCTGTCATCCCACAGCATCGCTTCAAACCGCAGCATCCAGAAGCATCATTAATGGAACCCTTCCTTAATAGCAGTATGGAAAAGAGGGGTGTGAACACTGGGAAAGGCAAATTAGACGAATGCTCTCATCCCCCCTGCCTGCAAGCAGGTGGGAGCAGTGGAGGGGAGAGCTGGGTGGGGTTGTCCAAAAGCTCTCTTTGCTCCGGGCAGATGAGGAGGAGCAAGGCAAGGTGGGGGCTCAGGACTGCCCCTTCCCTGCCCGGGCAGGCCCATGTCGCTGCCAGCAGCCTTTGTCTCGGCAGCCCCGGCTGGCCGGGAGCAGGAAACAGGAGGAGGGCGGGAGGCCCGTCAGAAGGAATAATGGAGCCGGACAATCGCACCACTGATGTCACCCTTCCTGCCATCTGCTCCCAACACCAGCCGTGCCCCCCGCCCCTCCGACTTTGCCCCACCGCCTTCCCTAGCCCTGGTTGGGGAGCCAGGGGTAGAGCAGGCCAGAGATGGCAGGTGAAGACAGGGTAATGGAGATCTAAACCAGCTTTCAGCATCTCCCTCTGAGGATCTATGCCCCTCGAGCAGCATACCTTATTGATTACTGGGGGCCCCAAAATACATCTACAACCCAAGTGTCTGAAATCAGAGGCATGGGGGAAAGAGAAAGGTGGAGAGTTCATGACATGAAAATACAAGCTTGCAGGTGTGTAATGAAAAGCCTTGGGCATCTCAAGCCATGGCCACCACACCTGCTTTATGCCAGATGAGGACATGGCTGTAACCCCTCTGGATCCCACTTCAGCTTTCCAGGGCAAGCGGCTTAACCTCACAGGGGTGTCCTGAGGCTTAATTAATTCCCAGGCTGCATGCACTGGGAGAGCCAGCGTATGAGCAGCAGCAGCAGGGGCAGGTGGCCTCCTGCCTGCAGATGTGCCAGGAGAGATTTCAGCCGTACCAAAAAGAACAGAAAAAGGCATGAACTAAAGACGGAGGCAACACCTCTCCTCCGCTCCCCCCATCCCTGGTTATAATCACATCCACAGCCGGTACTTGGACCATTATGCAACGATCCAGGAGCAGGAAGGAGGCTATTGCTGCTTCTATGAGAACAGAACAGGGACCACCAGGACAGACCAGTCAACTCCTCTGGGAGCCACTGCTCCTCTGCAGCTCATAGGCTGCAGGGTTGAAGGTGGACAGCATCAGCTGATGTTAACTCTTCCATGCTTTCCCCTTCCCCATTATCCTCCTCTTCTTCCTCTCCTTGCACATTGCCTTTGCTGCTGATGCTGCTCCACGTGACATGACAGCGGCCACTGCAGAGGTGACCCTCGCTGGGAGGAAGGCGTCCGTATTGCTCTCCTCCTACCTCGCGCAAAACTGATTATTCTGCTTTATTCCCCTGGGGATTTAAGAGCAGCTAAAGCCGTTCAGGAATCAGTCTCTGCAATCCCCTCCAAATCGCCCAGTGCAGAGCATCACCGCAGCAGATTGGCGCGAGCCTGGCCCCCCCGTGCTGCGAGTCCCCTTGATCCCAGCGGGGTGATGTCACTGGCAGCCAATGCGGGCAGCAATGGCTCTGTGGGGCGGCGGGGGGGGGACGACACACACCACAGATGGCTCCAGCTGGGCCCAGCATTTGATTAATCGCCTGAATTACCCTCGCTTTGCCATAAAATCGCAAGGCAGGAGGGGGAAATGGTAAAAGCGAGCTAGTAGGAGGGTGGGCTATGATAGAAAACCAACCTCCGGCACCCACCGGCACAGGCCTCCAGCAGCATCTCAGTGGAGGGCAGGGCCCAGGCTATGGCACCGCAGGGGCACCCTGGCCAGGGCTCCAGCCCAGCTCTGTGGCTCAGAGCCACCTCTATTATTCAACTAGGAGCTATAGAGAGAGGAGCCTGTGAGAGATAATATGCCATGACACCGGATAAGAGCTTCTGGTGTCACAGGGGAGGAGGATTACATGTCGTGAATGGAGTTAGAGATGACAGAGGGGTGGGGAAGAGTTTTTAGCAGGGGATTAAGTTTACAGCTCCAGGAAGGCTTTGGGGAGTTATTTGCTGGCGTAGGACAACTCTGAAGGCTGATATACCTGTTAGACTTGCCCGGGAAGGACTCCTGGAGCAGGGAACCACGTCACCGGGGTGGGAGCAATGAGCGGGTCCTGAAGGACAGCCCTGTGGCTGCATGAGCTCACACTCCAACTCCCCAAAGAGTGCCAGAGAGATGCCAGCAGATACTGGTGTCAAGGGATGGAAGAGGATGATGTATATACCAGGCATAGCCAGTGCATACCATGTAGCCAGCCCTTAAGCCAGTCTGCATCCCACCCCCACCCTTCCATTTTCTACTGGGAAGAGGGGTACAAGCATCCACCTGGAAAGGTGAGGGACAGACCCCCTACCTTCACCTTGGAGGCAGGCTGGATGAGTTCTGTGATGGAAACCTTGTCCTGCTGAAGCCTCCTCTTGACAAGCTTGGAGCAGCAGATGTTGACAGAGCTGAGGACGTGCCAGGAGTTGTACTCCACAAAGGAGCGGCTGTCAATGACCAGGGTGCCCTCTGCTCCGTTCCGCAGGAGGCTGGCCAGCTTCTTCGGGTCCATCACCTTGCGTGGGAGCCTGTCCCCAGCCATAACGGGCCTGTCCCCTCTATGGTGAGTTGGGGGCAAGGGGCAGAAGGATGCCAACACCCGTCTCCCTGGGGGAAACGAGCAAGGGGGTAAGGGGTGAGCAGGGCAGCACCTGTCCTGGTCTCCTCACACTGCTAACACCCAGGATGCCAACTCATTGTGCTGAACCTGGAAAGAGAGGAAAGGAGAAGACAACTGGTCAGCTGGGCAGGATGTGACATTCACCTTGGTCCAAATCCCCAAGGGTTTGGCCTTCAGAAGATGCCCTTAGAAGAATGTAAGAGTGCAACAAGCCGCACTTTCTAGGTATGTTCTCAAAGCCTGAGGGCATCTGTGGCTTCAGAGCTGCCCAAGCAAGAGGTTTTCTCTTTGTATTTAACAGCCCTCAGTGGAACTTTCTTCCATGAATTTGTTTAATAGCTTTCTGAAGCCATGTCAACTTTAACAGGCCCAGTGGCCAGTGGCAGGTAGCGGAATGGTTTGCCAGCTATGATGAAGATGTCCTTCACCCGGTTTGCTCCAAATCTGCTAACCCATGGTTTCTCTGGGTGACCCTTACTACTTGCACTGGAAGAGGCCCCACATGCCCATTCCCTAATCACCTTCCCCACGGTTCTCACCACATTTAGATCTCGTTTAGGACCCTTTCAGGTCAGAGCATCTACAGAGCCTCCTGCTGCACAGATACCTTTGACCACCTTGGCCAGCCCTGACATGCCATGTTTGAAAGGCAGGCATGAGGCACCTCCACAGGGCAAGACATCTCTTCCTTTCCCTGCTCCCAGCCTAACAGCTCCTTGCACTCAATTTTGTTTTCCTGACCTCTGCCAAGCACAGACCTAATGGTTTCACAGAAGTAGTTTAGCTCAGCTGTAAGGTTTTGCTGCTGCATGGCAATACCTAGTTCAGGGCCCATCAGACACACCACCAAATCAGGTTTGCTCACTCACATCCATCATTTTACAGTGGATTTCGATCTGCCTTTTAATCAGAGCCTGCTCATGGGTATCTTGCCAGCTTGCCTCCTGGCAAGTCAAGAGAAAATGACTTCTCTCAGAAGCCAAGAAGTTGAGCTGACCTTCACTCCTGCCTTCAAGAAACAGGACAGGCATTAGGGCAGAGGCCGTGGGAAGCTGTACTTGGATCAAGATGGCCCCGAAGTGACTGCTGCTTTCCAGCATCAAACTTGCACATACTTTGAAAGCGGGTTTGTTTACAGGGGTACATATCAGGGCTCCGTTTAGGAGCTGAGGAGGGTCAAGCCTGGTTCTCTCTAAAGTGCCACCAGAAGAACAAGGTTCCTTCATGTCCAACCCATGGGGTCTGCAGGAGAAATAGGCAGGTGGGGGGCATTCAGCTCAGGATGTCTTCTAAGGTTTTAACGGCATACATCATTGTAATCATGTTTTAATGGCATTAGGTTTTAATGCTGCTGCAGTCATTCAGAAAATAAGCCCTGGCTACTACCAGGCTCCTCTTGTTCCTGCCAGACGGTGTTTTAGAGAGAACCCACAAGCTGTTGTGAGAAGATTTAATGCATCTGAATTAGAAGGACTATGAATGCCATGCCTGGAAAGGCCATTGTAAAGATTTTCATTGACTTCTGCAGGACCAGGATTTAGCCCATGGACTAAAGGAGGCTTATGCATGCTGATCCCAGTGAACCAGCAGTTCTTGGAAGCTCCCACAGTCAAAGCCCCTGTGGTGTGGGCACCTACTGCAATGATAGCTCAAGACACATGAGAGGAATGGGTCCCTGTCATTTTACTACTGGGTGAAACGACAGGGATCTCAGTCACCAGCCACCAAACCTGACGGACACAGCCAGCTCACAGGAAAGGCATGGAAAGCCACAGAATAGAGGATGGGGTCCCAGCATTTGCTCTGGCTCATGACTCCAGCATTAACAGCCCCAACTTCCCTGGGCTACCAGACCTGCCTCCCAAAGCAGAGGGTACATATCCCAAGCTTCTAGATCTAAGCTCCCAGTATGAGGCCACATTAGGATGTGTAATCCTCCCCTGCCCCTATATTACATGCAGGCTGCCTCTGCCAATGCATTCATTCAAATTGCGGGGGGGGGACACGGACGTGACGGGACGGGGGACGGGTGCATCTCCTAAAAGCCGCACTAGTGATGGTCCCTCCTGACACAAAGGATTCTGGCAGTCCCCCAGCTCCGTGGCATTGCTGTCCCCAGCCCCACGGCAAGCTTGTATGGCTCTGCGGCTCCTTGCAGTGACTCCAATTAGAGCTGCCCCCCCGCGGGCAGCCGGCGGTTCCCCCGCCACAGGGACCCCGCTCCTCCTGCCTCCCCCGGCACTCCTCCAGGGGGGCTTAAAAACTGAAACAGTTCTAATTAGGGGGTCTGAGGGGGAGCGAGGCGGGCTCCCTCTGCGATGTGACGCCTCATTACGTCGCTACCGCCCTGCCAGAAGACCCCCTGCTGTACCTTGGCTATAGAGCCAGGGCACTCAGAAAGGATGCAGATTAGCCAGCTTTTCCCCTTCCTCTTCCTTTCACACCCCACTCCCCAAATCACTTTCTGCCTCCCTTCCCCATCAGGACACCAGGCTGCAAATTCTTCTCTGCTCTTCAATTACATCCATGAAATAGAAAGGGAATGGAGAGTCAATAGACAAAAAGGATGGGGATAATACAACAGCAGAGGGATGAGAGTGAAAGACTGAAGTGGGAGGAAGGAGTGACCCAACACAGGGGGCCCACTGAGTACCTCCAGAGATAATGTGGTATCTACTCTCCAGATAACAAGGGGAAAACTTTGGAGGTCTCAGATACAAATAGACGAGTCTGGGCAAGATAACAGATCCTTGATCACTTAACTGCTCTGAGAGGATTAAGCCAGCAGAAGAGGCCTTCCAATCATGAAGTTCTAATAGATGACCAGGAGTTTGGGTGGAAGAGATTGGAGAAGACAGACAAAGAGGCTTCCTGGCTTATCTAATAGCCACCCTTCTGCAGAACAACCAGATAAAGGTCTTCTCCTGGTGGTAGACACATGTGATTTATCAACCAGGTTCCACTTCCAGCTCTACCTGAAAGACATGGGGGAAGGCAGAACAAGTCCATTCTGCCTCTCTTTCTGGTGGCCTTTATGGGAGATGGAGATGGCTGAGTGTGGTTGTAGGGAACAGTAACCTTGGCATCAGACCCAAGACACAAGGACTTCTCAAAGAGCATGCCTAGCCAGGTCAAAAGCAGATAAGCCGCTTCTCTGCCAGCAACCACAGGACATTTTGAAGCCAAGCTGAGGGGTGGTGGGTTCATCCCCAGCTAACAGACACCCCAGGTACCAGCAGAGGCTATGAGACCTTCACAGTACCTTGCAGGCTGTGTGTGAAATGGTCTCTGAGAAGAATGAGCTCTAATGCCTCTATACCTGGGAAGGTTACCAGAGAAGGAAGATGTCTTTCTGCTTCTGCTCAGATGGGTCAAAGGAAAAGTGAAGGAACAGGCATAGCCATGAAGCACTGCTGACATAAGGGTTCTTCTCACTATAGTGACATGAGACCAGGGGAAAAGGTTAACCTGGAACCTAAATTAGGATTTCAGAAATATAACTGTGTCCCTCTCTTATCAGTTTATTATAGACATCCTAATCTTCTTGAGTGTTCCTGAAGAACATTACCATAATCCTTTAATCCCACCTCTCCCTGGAGTGCCTGTAATGAGAAGATGGGCAAGTGGCTTAGCTGAATGGGGACATCCAAACAGGAGAGGCCACACTGCAGCCAAGGGACAGAAAGACGGGCATAGCTTAGCACACAGGCTGGGCCAACTGCCTTCTCATTGAGGCTGTGTCCCTGGTGTCACTTTCATGGACATTTATGTCAGGTGAGGCGTGGTGGCCACGTGAGTCACAAGCATGACAGAGATGTGTGTGGCAAGTGATCAACCTGGCTGTGACTCTCTTCTGGTCAGGTCAGGCAAGAGAGCAGGAAAACCTGAAACACACCCAGCCTGAGTCTATTTGTGTGTCATGGCAGACCACGGGAACTCATCCCTGTGCTGGCTCAACACAGGTCACCAAGGTGGAGGCTGCTTCCCTCAATTTCATGCCTTGCACAAGGTCCTCACCTAAGAGATGTGGTATGGCAAAGGTGCAGATCTGGTTTCTCTTGTATCAGAGACACCAACTGGAAGCCTCGCATGTCTGCAGCAACTATAAACCTCACTAACTGGCATGTCTACCCTTTGCACCAAGCTAGTAATTGTATTGAGGAGAATCTCCCCTCACTGCCTTGGGCAGGCCAGCTTTGCTGCATGGAAGCAGCTCTGACCCCATGAAAATATTTCCATCATGTAAGTGAGACTGGATCTACAGCACACTCCCTGTGGTGATCATCCCAGAAGAATGCTCTTTGATGGCATCTCCACCTTGAGTTTGCCAAGGCATAAGAGAACCACAGAGAAATGCCTGCTCATTTGTCCCCAGTAACTCACAAAAGCAGCCATTCCTGAAGAGCTGCCATCTCTATCTCCACCCAGCAGCACTGAGCTAAGGGAGCTGGCTTTTCCCTCTGCAGCCCTCCTGGGGAAACATCCATGTCCTCTGAAGCCTGCAGCAGGATGCTGCCTGGCCAGGGCTCCTCTATCCATCCATCCATCCATCCATCCATCCATCCATCCATCCATCCATCCATCCATCCATCCATCCACCCATCCTCCATCCATCCATCCAGGTCAGCCTTGCCACAGCCCTAGGCTTACCAGTGAGATGCTGGCAGGACCCCATTGGCCCCCAGCTCTCCAGACAGTTATTAGGATGTAAACAATGGCACTTTTTCCAAGCCCTCCACCCTTCTTTTCCTCCCCATCCCCTCATTTCTTTCAAGTGCTTTGGCACTTAGCGAACTCCCCTCGGCAGGCTCATGCTGTTTGAGGGATTCCTAAATCACGGGCCTATTACTAATTATTATTATTTTGCAGCAGCAATCAGGGACGTGGGACTCATTAACAAGTTAGCACCTCTGGTTTCCCTGGAAACCCTCAGCTGCCAGGCAACGGCTGCGCCTCCAGCCCGAGGCGATGCTACTGCAGTGCCTTCAGCTCTCTCCCCAGAAAGATGCTTGGGTTCTCCATGGGCTGACAAACCCAGATTAGCAAATGGGATGGGGCTAGGAAACTCCAGGATGTGTCCTCCTGCT